GCCTTGGCCCAGCAGCTCAAGATTTCAACTTTGTTCTCGGGCTCCCTGGATTCATCCGCGCATCCTCCGGAGCGACCAAAATTCAACACCGAAAGAAAATAAGGATTAGGAAATCATTTCCTGACATTTCAATTCAACGAGAATAAAAGAGAATGTAGCGGAGAAAGAAAGAAAAGAAGAAAAAAAGGAGGCCGATCGTCACATGTCGGCTACTTGTCCTTTACTATAGGAGATAATTGTAGGGTATAACCCTAGAGGAGCTTAACGCCTCCTCAATAGCACCTTTATATATAGATCATCTTTATTTCATTCTTAGGCCTTGTTTGTTAATAGATTATTTAATATTACAAATTCAAACTTAATTAACAAAGAATTATTTAAAATGATCATCTAATAGTTCACATTGATTCTAAACATGGAACACATTAACATTTTGCGTAAATTCCGAGACCGAACCTATCCTAGATTATTTTGATCAAAAAGTCAAAAAAAAATATAATGGCCATGTTTAGTAGAGCTGTGGGAAAGTGATTATAACTTAATAGCCTAACAATTTATAACTTATAACTGTGAACATAAGCTGATTTTTGACTTATAAATTAAGCTTCTCCTCCCCTACTCAAAGAATAAGTTGATTTTTAACTTACAAAAAGCTATAAGCTATATTGTTAAGCTGAACCAAACACATCAAAATAGCTTAAATTAAGCTGAAAGTTAAAATAAGCTGGAAATAAGCCCTACCAAACAGGGCCAATAAGATGTTTTGAAAAGTTGGTTAAAAGCTGACTTTTTTATTTTTTATTTTTTTATCTTTTTGTGAATAAAAAATGTGAGAGGTAATGTGACTCAAAATGAGTTAAAAGTTAAAAGTGCCCAAGTTATCACATAACTTTTTTACTTTTTTTACACAAATTTTTATTAAAAAAATAAAAAAGCTATTAAAATAAAATGAGCTTTTAACTAAAGTTTTGCTTTAACCTTTGTAATTAAAAGCCCTTTTTTTCATTTGATTCAATTAAAGGCCGTTTTGGGAACAAAAAAATAAGTTGACAAGTGAAATTATCAAAATGCTCTCGCGTGTATGGCATTTGAAAAATATTAGTGGAGCGTAAAATGATAATTTCACAAAAATGCATGAGGGTAATATATAAAATTTATAATTTTATAAATGATGCGGTACCATATTATAATAAGGTCTTATTTGGTTACTTTTAGTTTTATTTAAAAAATTAAAAAATTATTAGAAATTGTCATATCACTCTCTCTAATTTTCGACATATTTTTTCGTAAAAAATTAAAAAGTTACTAAAATAACATGTTCCCAAATAATGCCTTATTTTCCACAAAAAAAAAGGCAAAAAAAATTCTTATTTAGCACTCCTCAAATAATTTTGTGAATAAACCAAAAAATAAGAAAATAAACCAAAAAAATTATTTATTTCCACCTTCTCAAAACAACCTTTAGTTCACTTTAACGGATTGGAATAGAATAATCAACTTATCAAAACATTTATTTCTATATTTGGTTGATTTTAAAAGTTATCAAAAATATATATTATAAAAAAAATATCATCCACCATCGTAATAGAATAATTATTCTAAAGTAAAGACTAAGAAATAATCATTACAACATCATTCTACATAAATCTTTTTAAAAAATTCAGAACTCCATTATGATTATTATAGCTTGTTTAGCCTCCGTTTGGAAACTTCAACTTGGGCTAAAATAGCCACTACAGTCCAAAATAGGCTAAATTAGCCATTACACGACAAAATGAGTTCACGGGCATGACTTACCTACAAGCCGAGTTGAAAGTACGAAACTACCCTTGGCACTGTGTTGACAAATCCACAGCCTGTAACCCCTCCCCCCACACACACTTCGCAGTAGTTAGGTCATCCACAGCTGCTCGTCGAAGGAGGCGACCTAAACAGCGTTGCTCGGGAAAGAACCACAGCCATACCTCTGATAGGCCAACACCACCGGAGTTCATATCAGCGGCGACCCTCATCCTCAGTCTCTCAAACACGATCGATTTTCAGGTAATGGTTGGTTTTACCTTCTTTTTTTTTTTTGGTTTTTTTGGGGGTTTGTTCGCATAATAGCTTATCCTCGAAGCCGATCTGGAAAGTTTATCTTTGAAACATTGTTGTTGCTGCTGCAAAATTTCCCTCTAATTCTTTGGGTTACATTTTGTTCATTTCGGTTTGCAAAAATGGGAAACCCAGTGTCATATCTCTCGCACTCACTGCAAAACCTCACTCCGATGGACGCTCAGTCATGGAAACTGGTCGTCACGGCTGATTTGTGGTGGAAAACACATATTTCTTTGACAATTTTTTGAGGTGTTCTTCACAGATGACATATGTATTTATGAAAAAAAAAACGGTTCTGAAATCAGATTTTCTGCTTTGTTTCTGCTAATTTTTCCTTAAATCTGGACTTTCTAATCAGATTTTTTCGAGATTCTGAAATCTAAATTTCTATCTTCATAAATCTGATTGTTCTGCCTAAGCTGAAATCTGAATGCTCATATCAGATTTTTGTGAAATATGAAATCTGAATTTCTGATTTCTGCTGAAATATGAAATCAAAATTTTTCTCTTCATTAATTTCCAAATGTGTCCATGTGTCTTCAACAATTCTGAATTTACACAAATTCTGAATTTTTCTCTTCATTAATTTGCAAATGTCTCCATGTGTCTCCATAACAAATATCAGTTTTGTATAAGTTGTTTATTTGATTTCTTTTAATTATCATTAAAAAATAACAAAATTCATATCAAAGTGTTCATTGATTTTTGAATGCTGAAAATGAAATCTGATTTTTCCAAAATATGAAATCTGAAATCTGAATTTCTGATTTGTTTTGATTTTTTCCTCAAATCTGGAATTTGTAATCGCATTTTGTTGGCTGAAATCTGAACTCTATGTGTTGATCATGTATTGATAATAATAATACATTATCAACAGAAAATGTATTGATAATAATGTATTGAACTCAAATCTGGAATTATTGATAATAATGTCTTCATAAATATCTGAACTCTATGTGTTGATAATGTATTGATAATGTATTTATTTTGTCCCATTCATTTTTTTTGCTGGAATTTCTAAATATATGTATTCATAATAATCTGAAATCTGAATTTGCCCTATGTTTATCTTCATAAATCTCAGAATGTCTGTCTTAAAGAAATCTGAATTTACAAACAAATTTGAGTTCATAAATTCTTAATTTGATTTCTTATAATTCTCATTACAGCAAAAAAAAAAAGTTCATATCAAAGTGTTTATTGATTTGTGAATGGTGAATGCAATCTGATTTTCCTGAATTATGAATTCTGAATTTCTGATGTTTTCTGATTTTTGTTTATGAAATTTCGAATTTGTAATCAATTTTTTTGCTGAAATCTAAAATCTAATTTTATGTATTCATAATAATCTTAAATCTGAGTAAAACCCTATGCTTTTGTCGTCATAAATATGAGAATGTCTCCACATCATCATGTCCTGATCTTGCTTTGAACTGAACAATCATATAGCATTTCAACATAGGCTGCCATGTAATCAATTTCATTGTTATAACACAAGAATCATGTTGCTTAGGAGATGAGAAAGAGTGACATTATGTACATTTAAGGTAACATTGGGAGATGAGGGAGAACAAATTAAATTGGTTTGAGATAATAAAGAAAGGCATATTACCTTGTGGTTTAACTAAGATTATGGCTCGGTAAGGCTTTGATTGAGTAGGATGGTAAAACAAGCTTCATGTAACCGACCTACAATTGTTGGACACATACGCAAGTATAGAATCAATTTTCCAGCCCTACAAACCTCTCATAAACCCAGATGTCCACACCACTTCCTTTGATTGAGAATGTCTCCATGGCTCTTCAAAAAATCTGTATTCATATGTGGCTTCATTCATATATATGAGATTTTTTTTTGTGGTTATTCAACTTCACTTCTCATTACACTGGACATTTCAAACTGTTATTAGAAAATGTATGGAACTTCAACTACACTATTATTATATTGTGGATTCATGAATGTAAACTTGCCATTGGAGCACTCGATTGCATATGGCATAAAGTAATTGTTTTTTGTTTTCATTGACATATTTATCAAAAATGTAAAACAAACATTTCAGTGCTTGACCTTTGGCATAATTTTAATTGAAGGTGATAATGTGAGGAAGTAAAATATCCAGCTTATATCATGTGGGGATTTGTCATTATTTTAGTTTAAAATTTTCATTTTACAAACATGTTGACAGTGAAACCATAACTGGTATGCTGTTTTTCTTTAACATAAAATGAATAAACTAATGAGTTTGTAAACCCATCCTATGAAACTTGTGCATCAGCGTAGTCAGTTCATGTTGAACCTGAAATATGGATATCATAAACTAATTACTGCTATGATTCATTGTTACTTTCGAATGTTTGTCAAACATAGCATGGCTTCATTTACCTCTAGTGCAACTTCCAGTACATGGCCACGTCGAATGTGTGCCTGTGGACATGGCCCCTGTATTGTTAAGATTTCCAGGTCCACCAAAAATCCAGGGCGTCCCTACTTTGTCTGTCCCCGCCCTGTGGTGAGTGACCCAATCTTTACCGATCATAACTGTAGGATAACATGATGTGTCCATTAATTTCCCAAAAGCTTGTTTTGACTTCGTAGCATATAACTTATCAATGAGTTTTCTCGTTTGGATACGCTACTGTTTTGCTAGTCTCTATCAAATCATAGGCTAAGATGTCTTCTCTCAATACCTTATCCCGTGTGACATGATTTTGCTTACTCTATAAGGTTCAAAACGATTTTAACCTTGAGAAAGAGAGACAGAGTTGTTAAAGTAATAATGTGTTGATGTCTTGTAGGCCTAAGATCTAAGATCTTAATAACTTTTTTCATTTTGGACATAAATGATGTTGGAAAAACAATGTTTATGCTTTTGTCCATGCTGTATATTCTTTAGTTTTAGACATTGCATTTCTTGATGTACTGAAAATATACATCACTTATAGGTGCTGTCAGGGAAGCAATTGAAACTTTAAGGAGAAACAATGTTAACGCTTTTGTCTTGGATCTTCGGGATAATAGGTGACAATGACAATGCTCTCAACATGCTTTGTTTTAAATTTTCCCTCCGAGCAAACTTTCTGAAAGATTAAATTTGATGCAGTGGTGGTCTTTTCCCTGAAGGAATTGAGATTGCTAAGATTTGGTAAGCTTCATAGAAGGATCAATATTGCACGTATACTTTGTTTGGCTAACCTTTTCTGCTGCTTTATCTTTTTTCGAGTCAATTGGAATCATTTAGCCTGTCTCAATCAGGAATAATTTTCATAGTACTTCCTGTAGTTCTCATGTTTAGCTATTGCCGACCAGGTTAGAGAAAGGTGTCATTGTGTATATTTGTGATAGTCAAGGTGTTCGAGATATATATGACACTGATGGAAGCAATGCTATAGCAGCTAGAGAACCCTTAGCCGTGCTGGTATGCAAACTTATATTCTGTGATTGTTATGATTTATGACAATGATTTTTGAAACTTTTGAAAAATATTGGCAATAATGTAGTGTGTTGACAATTATTCTGGAAAAAGAATTTATGATGAGTTTTTGTAAAGAATTTTTGATCTCTCTTCTAAGTGCTGCTTTTTAAGGTAAACAAAGGAACTGCTAGCGCAAGCGAAATTTTAGCTGGTGCATTGAAGGACAATAAAAGAGCAGTGTTGTTTGGTGAACCCACATATGGGAAAGGGTAAATGATTTTCGTTCTGCATCATGCAAAATATTATGATATATACGTATACCTACTGTCTTATATCTCTCCCTTCTTTACAGCAAGATTCAATCAGTTTTTGAGCTATCCGATGGCTCTGGTTTGGCTGTTACAGTAGCTCGCTACGAGACACCTGCTCACACTGATATTGACAAGGTCTCTCTCTCTCTCTCTCCC